CAACCTTCATGTGTGTGTTTCATCAAAATCCAAAATTATATAATTTTCCTTCCATCGTTCTCTTTTTCTCTCTCGTTACAGTAGAAATATAAATTAAATGCTTTGGTAATTAAAGTTTAAAGAATTAAAATAGCGAAAAATAAAGATCGAGTTTAAATAAATAAGATTCTGTAAAATTTCCATTAAGGAAAAATTGATTTTAAATTAATCAAAATAAAATTTCTCATTAAAATAAAAATCTTAAAGATATGCGCTTGCACGCATATAAAATCTTCTTCTCCTAATTCTTCCAATTATTTATTTTCTCCGAATTTTGTCAAAAAATACATTAGAGTAATATTATTTTAGAGCGGCAAACTCTATAGCTTTATCTCTTCCAAAAATAAGTATCAAAAGTTGCGACATATGACTTGAGAAAGGGTGACATTAGCGCGCGCGCATAAATCTATTCGCGCACAACAAAAAAAGTGAGGGAACGAGGGAAAAAGATAAAAACTGTCAGCGAGTAGTTTTTTAATTTTCTTTCCGCGAAATCTCTTTATGTGTATCTCATAACGATTACGAGCGGAGTCTCGACGTCTTAACGATGCCGTTAATTGACCCACACGTAGCGTCTTTTTACGCGCAGAAACCACGCATAAATAGATTTATTTCACAATCGCGAAGAAGCGATGTCGTTAATTGTCTCGCGGCTCGAGTAAGCATACGTTTTTTTCGCAAGTTCTCAACCTGTTTCGCGTGTAAGAACGCGTAACTGTACACGTCTGAATTCGTAAGATCCTCATTTGTCAGAAAAATATGTAACAACCGTTTTGAGTTCTCTCTCCTTCACGGTTTTACGAATTTTTCGAATTGACCTAGAACAGATTTTTAAGTTAAAATTTTTGCAAATTAATCTTTGGATTGCGAATATAGATAAAGTAGCATTATTATTATCATTATTATGTACAGATTATATATATTTTTCTCTTCAAATTACTCGAAAATTTAGGATATTTGCATTCATAGAAAATAAAAACTAAGATCAGAAAATAAAAAAAAAACTCTTAATCATAGATATTTTTAATACGGAACTTGCTTAAAGAGAGCGAAGCTTGTAATATACCGGGTGCATCGTGGGCTATATTCGCGCGGCCGAAAGTGCAAAGGGGAGCATACGTGGGCCTGTGTTTCGCGTTTCGCTTCGCTAATTTCTCTCGTGCGTTCGCACGCCGAAATAAAAGCTTTAATTTCGTAGCAACCATCCGCCGCGCCTAATTGGCATTGACGACGACGTTGTTCGCTCGCTCGCACGAACGACCGTTTGCCGATGCGATCGAAGGAAGAAAGCAGGGATACGCGCACCATATTAATTCCTAATTGTGTAATTATCCCTCTAATTACAGACTGGTGCGTATGGCAAATTATCCCACCGTCGAACGTCTCGAGTTAAAAGTAAGACTCAAGGCCGCCGTTTTTTTGGCGAGTCAAATTTACGCGGAACGACGATTGATTGTCGATTCCGTATATTTTTCCCGCGGATGAATTTTCAATGAACGATGAAGACAAATGCGGGAAATAAACTTCGTTTTCCCGACGAAAAATCTAAAGATAATTTTTATGATAATAATCGATGATCTATTCACGTGACATACATTATCGTTGATGCGTTAAAAACGTTGGCATAAAACACAAGTTACCCGCTTGAAATCGTAAATTTATGAAATAAGACTGCATAGAGATAATTGATATAATTGACGTTAATTGGTTAATTTGATATCGTCAAAGAGAGGGTTGCTATTTCGCTAGCTGCGGTTTACCTGTTGATTCCCCTATAAAGGTCTTGTGCCATTCGTTCACCGATACATTGATAAATTAATTTCAACGATGGATTGCTATATTACGATACATATATTTTCTCGTAATCATTATTCTAAGTACGAATCAAATAAGCTTCATGAAAATTGAAAGATGAAGAAAAATAAGAGAAATTTAGTTATATATTAATTTTATATATATAATAGTTATATATTAATTATATACATATATAAAGATTGCACAGAGATTGTATTTAAATGTCTCCTCGAAACGAAAAATACTAACCGCAATAAGTACTATAAGTGCAACGTGGTTGACAATGACCTTGAAGAAACTTATTTCGCGACTCGCACCTGCGACTGCCAAGTTCAAACCACGATTTGTCCATCGATCGCGTATCGATCTCATTGCTGCTCGAGAGTTAATTAAGCACACAGATGTACCGGATAATTTAAAATAACATGAGACGCTGCGATATGATCATCGTTCATCGTTATGGACGATATCCGAAATGATCAATGTATGTACATGACCAAGTACGCTTGGCAAAAGCGACATTAATAATGTTTCATAAAATAAATTCTGTTCAAATATTTGTGGATTTTCTTATAAAAAAAAAATCTTATTGATCGTAACCGCATGTACGGAATTATAAAACAATCAGTATACGATAAACGGATAGAGATGAGCAAAATATAAGTTTTGAAATGAAAAATAAAAATATTTATGTTAACTAGCTCTTTCTCTCTATTAGATTATAAATGATTAATATAAGATAATTTATATATTTGTACGTTAATTAAAAACATTTGAAATATTTAGTATTTAGTTAATTTGACTTATTTAAAATATAGTCAATGTAAATTTAAAACTTTTATTTCAAGAATAAGAATTTTCATCCTTTCAAAACGATTATTTCAATCAACAATTTCAATATTACATTTCAAATAAATATTTTCTATAGGCTTGTACTAATCATTCTCGCGAAGAGAAATCAATCAAATCGGATAATATTTCATTTCGTTAAAGAAAACATTTTAAATGATTATTTTTAATAGTCCACATTTGAAAGAAATATCCGCCGCTATAGATGAGTTTATTAGACTGAAATTATCGAGCGCGCAAACGATTAATCGCGAATTCTAAAGAGAGCAATTTCGCACGAGCCTTCTCATTCGTTCGATTTGGCGCACAAAAGAACATGAGGAACAGAGATGCACTGTGATCGCTCTCGGATAAAAGGCGCGCTCGCGTACACCTGAGAGTAGCAGGTGCAGCGCAAGGTCTCGGTCCTCGGACGGAATCCTGCTCTTCTCTCGCGTGACAGCGACACGACCGGTCGATGCACAGCCCCAATATATATATATGATCAAAAAATTAAATAAATGAAAGATTGGACACTTTGAGAAAAATTTTGTTACTCCTAATTATCGAAAATGCTACTCCTTACAAGAAACGTGAAAAATATAATTGTATAAAGGCATTCTATCTTTGAAATGCAAATCATTTCCCCAGAAAGGAAGACGTACATATTTTTTACCTCCAAAAGAAGAAGAATTCGCGAACATTGATATCCTAGTTTTAATTAATTTTTTTTAAATGAAAAGTACGAGACGTCCTCACGTATGAGAATAACTAGATTTTATCTATGCTTCTATTTACAATTGATTTGTATATAATATTGAAAACATTTTCTAACATGACGATGTACGATAATTAATATACTTATGCCACGGAGGGAAAAAAATGTGCTGAAAATAATTTAATCTTGCCCCTATATCCGCCCTGATTGTTCTCATCGTGTTCTGTTATCTCCTTTTCTCGCTATATTTTTAGATGTTATTAATCGATGATATTCCATCCTTATCCATAATAGTGACCTTGATGGGAACCTGCGACCTACGATGCGAGGTATGCGAGCACTGCAATTATGTCGGCGCGCGAGTGTCCACCTTTCATTGAGGTTGCATGTTCTCTTTGTTCCCCTTCTTGTTATTGTTGACGATGAAGGACTGACTACGCGTGCGTAAGTCGAATTACATTCATTCATTTTTATATTGCAAAACAATGTCGTTAAAAAATAAAAATTTTTGCTTGTATATCGTAATAATACACAGAATCTATCATATATTGACATTATTAAAATCAAGTCAAATTATCGTGTGGTATATAAAGATATGGCCTCGCGCTTTTTATTTTGACAGTTAAACGCAATTTGTCCGATTAATAAAAAATTATTTACGATTGTCAATATCTCTATAAAAATTAATTGTATTATATTTTTTTATCATTTGATTGAGATAATATAACAAAATTAATCGATGTAAATCCTATTATTCCTATTATTTCTTACAATTAATTTTAATAAATTAAATGTACATAAGTGATTATACATATCGCGTACTTTTTAACCACAGCTTTCGGAGATTTCTGATAGAAACTATTAGAAAGCAACGAATCACTAACCGACTTACGAACTAAAAGAGATATTCGCAAATTAATTCGAAAAATGCACCGCTCAAGGGATTCTCAGATTCGCGCGATCAGATAAAGAGAGTCACGAGGCACGAAAAATTCCTCGTGCTCGGGTTGATCCCAATCACGCAGATGATGACGCGGCTCCACCGACAGCTGCATACTGGCGTCATTAGCCAGCACTTTCAGCTTTCGGATCTCGTTACATTAATCAGCCATTATCGTACAGAATCCTCCTACGTTTTCCTACCGCACTCGTTCGATCGGCGATCGTTTGCATATTCCTCGATAATAGCAGAAGTACGGGAGTATAGGGATTAAATGATAAATACTCCAGGTTCATTAAAGCGAGTTACGATTATCTTATCTATAGTATTATTAAAGCAGTCTAAAAGATTTCTCGAAAATTTAAACATGTTAAATATTCTCTTTGGAATATAAAAAATATAAATATTAATAGAAAAGACATTTTTCATATTTAAAAAATGCAAGAATAAAATCAATTTCTAAGTTAAGTCAAAAGTGTAAACTTTACGAATCCGTTATTTCAATTCAAAGTTCAGTTGTTCAAATATTTAAAAAGAAATATTAGAATTATCGCGTTTAATTGAATTTTTAAGAAACAATCGATTGGAAAAAACCAGTTGGAGCACTCGTCAATTAAAAAAAAGCTCGGGAAGTAGAGAGGGTCCTGTGTGAAATTCATAATAAGATTAGCGAGATATTCGTGAAGATTGAATTTTTATCTGTGTTTATTGCTAATATAAATACTATTCTTTTACAAATTGAATTGGCCTAATGACGTCTCGTAACATACATAAAAAATATCGGCTAGCCGAGTCTAGTGACGGAATAATGCTATCCTTAATGACAATGTACAATGACGCCGAGAGAGCTTCGGCTTCGCCGAGATCGACTCGGAGAAGAAGAGATAGATTATTCTAAACCCTTCCTTCTTTTCGCCGACGAAATCGCCGGAAATCTCATCTGTCGATGATCGTCGTCGAAATTCGGCGTCGCCATGCACGCGACGACGCGTCGTGTGATTACCTAATTATAGTATACTTAAAAGTAAAATCAAAATTTCTACACATGTACCACACAAGTGGAATCGAATCGATATAACGCAACTCGTCCTCTTCACTCTCGCGGCAAATGATTAAGCGTTCGACAAGAATTTAAACCCGTGACAACAAAGCTCGAAAAGGAAGTTCCCAAAGAGACAATTAAGTACCCAGTTATGTCGATATTGTCTCTTCTAACATTCGACGAGATGTACCCGTAAACTCTGCGCCATGAATAAACAAAATAAATATAATTGCAATGCGATAATAATTGTAACAAATCCTAGATATTGTCAAGGCTGCTTCATATTTCGCATTTTCATTATAATTTACAATGAGAGGAGCGAGAGAGGGAGAAAGATGAGTGGGATCTAACGTTTAACGGTATTGCACGCTTGAGTCACGCATACGGAAACATTACTGAATTGTCACGATACACAATAAATACGCAATATTTTAATCGATTCTGAAAGTGCTTCAAAAGTGCTGAGACACATCGATATAGCGCGTATAAACTCGAGCGATTCGGAAACGCGAGAAAGAAATGCGTTGACCTATTAATTCACGTTCGATTAATTCGAAAGGAATAATTAATTCAACGACGCGAAATCGCGAGGGTGTCGCGTTCAAGAACAACGTAAAACCGAATCCTTTACGAAACTACGACGATCCTGCACGCGGTTGCTGCTGCGTGTAGAAACCGAACGGTCGCGATTCCGCTAAGGACGACGACGATAGCAGCGGCGTCGAATTCGCGGCCGCGACGGCGACCGAGGACGACGACGACGACGACGGACCGGACGTCGAGACACGAGAACGCTGTTGCGACGACGACGCTTTCTGCTGCCCGATCGTTTGATGAGATCTGATGGGTACTGGTAGCGGTCGCTGGATCTTCTTACCGTGATGTTGACCGGTAGCGCGGTAGCCCTGATGCCCAGGCCCGGTCGGCCGCAATCGGGGTCTGCCGGGACCCCGACGAATCCCCGCGACGCCGCCGCGTCCGGACAGCGGTATCAGAGTCCCCACCGGACCCAATGGACCCACCGTGCTGGGACCGTCTCCCTCGGCAGAGTCGGAGGTCGCGTGGACAGTCCCTAGGACATAAAAAAATACACCCCTTCGTTCTAGAAGATTCTATTGGAAATTTCGCCGCCGTAGATGCGGTGACGATCGACTCGCCTTGCGAATCTATATCCAATCGATGACTAATGTTTAATATTTCGTGAAGTATAAACACAAAAAGATAAAAAAGTGCAATTCTTCCAGAGGAGATTTTTCAAAAGTAGTCGGAATTCAATTCGTCGATTTACAAATTGTACATCGTATTTATACGCGACGCGCGATACGCGATTTATCGCGGAACAACGAGAATAAGTATTATTATCATATTATCATAAATCCTTCGATATACATGTATAGCGAAAATGTTGCATAATAAATGCCCGGAGGATTCCATTCTTCTTCTTGTCGTAAGACGAATCGATCAAGGATCTCGAAAAGGAGCGTTTCAAGGAGGTTTTTCTATGCGTAGATGTGCGTGAAAATCAGTATTCCTTCTCTTCAAACGTTGATATCTCGTATTTTGCTCTCTTCGCCTTTATCCTGTCGCCTAGTCGGCATTCCGCGGCACGTACCCAATCGTTCAAGGAGCGCTCCTCTTCAGACACTACGGTCTAAGTGGACACTTGAGAGAATGGGCGACAGAATAGAAAACGCGAAAACGCGCGTCTGTCATTCACAAAGCCCCGCCGACTCTCGCACTCTTAAATGATAATTCGATCTGGAAATTCCACGCGCGTGAATCGTATCGCGGACCAGGAATCGAAGTACTCCATACGAATCTGTGATGACAATTTCTGTCGCGTATAAAATATCAAGACGAAATATATATCTCGATCATTCGATACGGAAATATTTTTAACGAATCGTATTTCATAAAATTATTTAAAAGAAATAAATTATTACTTGAAGAAGTATTCTCTTATAATTAGCTATGAATAAGTCGCCTTTCTTCGACAGAAATCTGATTAACAAATATCAAAGTTGCGTGGACAAATGCAATAAAGACGAGAATCCAACTAATATTGATGTAGATGAATAAAATTAACTGCTACGATATTTGTTTTTGTATGCGATGAAATCTACTATATACTTAGTTTAACCGCCCAAGTAATTAGATAGAAATTTCCGGGAATTAAGATTTAAGATTCGTATTATGACCAAATCAAAATTCGTAAATTATATGTGTTTTAATGGACAAATAACGACATGATAAGAGACTCACGAGAGAAAAAACGGAGCCTGCTTGTGAGAGCAAAGATAAAATTTTCGAGACTGTTGGAACGGGGAAGATCCGCGGAATGTCGACGGTCCAGCTTGCTATATCCATGACTCGCCCTATCCTGCCGCATTATCCTACCGTATCTCACCCGTGTGTTGTGAGCCGAACTATCTATGCTGCCATATATTTTGTCTCCCCTATCCAGTCCTGTTCGGCCTAGTCTGGAACACTTAGATTCTGAGAAAACTTGAGATCTAAAATCAAGATAATCATGTTACCTAACAGGATCACGCAGGATCCTTCACGAAACCATTTTCCACCCATTAAATCTAATTAGATAAACCTATTAATTATGTGACTATGTATTTCGACTTACAATATCTAGAATATAATATGCAACATTGCTTTGCTTTAAAAAACGGAATTATTTCCGAACAGGTTAAAAGAAAAATGGTAATAATCAGACCAATAGTTCTAAAAAAAAAATATCAAAAAATTTGATGTTATAAAAGAACAATATTCAAAATGTAATGATTTTTCAAGTTATACATTCCCATATATCAATATATAAATAATTTTGATTGTGAGTTAATAATTATAAATGCAATAGAGAAAATATGGCATATATATTACATTATTCGGGAACGATTTCTTTATGACAAGAATATAAGAATATGATATTCGAGAGGATGCATAGAGTCGACGGGGACGAGATGACACAGTAAGGTACGGTAAGGTACGGCACGAATCGACAACAGTCAACCCCTTATATAGGGTCCGCGTAATTCCCCTCTATCCTCTGCAAACCCCATCCTCTTCTTTCTTTTATTCGATCTCGCGAAATGACGAGGGAAATTAGATGTCGGGATTATGCAACTGAAACATATTACGATCGCGTCTAGGGCTCTTAAGTAGATATTGCTGAATCAAACGTTAAAATTATTTAAGAAAATGGCAACTATTTTAACAGATATTACTCAACAGTTCGTGCTTCAATGTAAATATGTTAATACAAATGCAAAAGTTCAATATTAATAGAGAATATTTGAAAGAATATTAAATTATTAGTCCACACAAACTGCGTCTAGTGAAAACATATGAATTTTAAATAGAACGCGATATTAATAAAGTTTAAAGCCCCTCATATATATGATTTCTCTCTTGAAAGCGAGCGATTAAATTCCAATTTATATTAAATTGGTTGCGTTTTATTTTCCTAAATTGCAATTTGCATTCTTATTAATCCATCACAATCATCCATTTATCGGTTAAAATAAGCGGGATACAACTAATCAACGAGAATAACGCTGAATATGTACGCCGGTGAGAGTTGGGAACATTGACAGCTGGATGAAACGCGCGTCGCATCCCGATAAAGAGATAACTAATGGAGAAGAGAGACGAAGCAAAAGCGGAGAAGATGTGCAAAAAAGATGGTGACGAAGAAGAGGACAAAGGGAGGAGAGAGAGAGAAAAAATAAGAAAAAAGAAGAGAAAAAAAAGGAGAAAAAGAGAGAGAGAAAGAGGTAGACGCGAGTTCCAAAAACTTAAGAAGAGCATCGATCGCAGCTGTCGCCTTCGCTCCGCACCTGCTATTGTCCGCCTCGTCTTCCAGTCGACGACAAGTGAGAGAGCGAGACCGACCCCTTTTTCCTCCACGTGCGTACACGCAGCACGAGGATGGAATGTGTTAAGCGTACTCGCGCGCGCGTGTTGTCCACTCCGTGTTCACGGTTCACGTGGCGTTGCGTGAGGTCGCCTTATCGGACACACACCGTACCTCTTTCTTTCTCTCTAATTAATCCAACAAACTCATCGACGTTTGCTATATAGAATCAGGAATCTCGGTATTTCTGCAGTCTCGCGACGTTCGCGATGTGATAATTATTTTACTCAACAATTATTTCATCTATGAAAGTTAATTGGAATAATATTTTTTATATCGTTCGTATGAAAAATACTTTTTTCCCGTTCGGAATCATTCGACTTATCGATGACTCTCTCTGATAGCATACTCCCCCTAGAACATAACACACTTGTCCCGAGACACAATACACTTGTGTTACGGCGACAAATGTTTCCAGCCTGGCCCCATACGAATTCGTCGTTTGCAAAACGAGTTGTATAGAAATGAGTCACGAGAAATTTCACGGGGGTGGAACGTCTCTAAGGGTACCCCGTGGAGGAGCGCCAACTGTTACCCCATCGTGGGCGCACATGTGCTCGCGAGGGAATTTTCGGCACAAGCCGACGATGGGGTCGCGAATGGACCCATGGGCGTTCCTCTCGCGAACCGCAAAGTCCCCTGAGAACCCGGGCAAGTGCCCGGACGAAAGACGGCACCGAGGGTGCAAGAGGGTGCGGGGAGGGACCCCCGAAAGTGTCAGCGGGGATTAACGGTATATCGATTGGCGGGGCCGCGACCGCGAAAGAAGTCGTTCTTCTCACAGCAAAAGCTTCGAAAATTCGCGGCAAATTTCGCGACGCGTTTTATTACCTACGCTTTTATTCAACGTCATCAGATGGAATTATCGCGAACATTGCAGTGATATTAATTATGAATATTCTCCCTTTTGCGAACTTTTCCGCCCGGCCTGTATAATCGGCTTTAACTATAAAGCTAGATTACAAGAGCAAAGTGATAACTGCACAAACGTGCACATTATAACAGTTCCGAGAGGGAATCGTAGTTGTAAAATATTTGTACAAATTATACCATCGTGTATGTAACTAAATGCAAATGCGAAAAGTATTATCAGTGCAATGCAATATTTGCTTGTAGGATATATCGAAATAATTTATAAAATTAATACAACATTGAAAATGTGCGCACAGAACATTTCATAAATCTCTTATCACAAGCATTAATTGAATAAAATATGTAAAATTACTCTGTTCGTCCATTAATTATCTCGACAACTCTCATCTTCAATTATTTAAGCAATGTAAATCTCAAATGAGATAGTGATAGATCGATCATTCAATTATTAAAAAACAGGTACTTACGCGTTGAAATTAATCTATCATGCTATATTTCGACGAATGCCATTTTTTATTATACAAACAAAACGCGATTATTCAAAGACGGGTACTCACCGTGCTGCAACGTCTGCTCGTTCGAGGTTCCACCCCCATCGATCGGCGATATGGTCGACAGCGATTCGCTGGTCGCTGCATTAGAGCTCTTCGACGACGGATGCATCAGAAGCATTCCTCTTCCCTTACCGCCGATCGGTCCGCCCCTACGTGAACCTCGTGGTCGGCCGCGTTTGCTCGCGCCGCGTACGGATTGTCGCATACGCGCGCTCGCGCCCATGCCGAAGGCGAAGTGATGTCCGAGTCGAGCAACCTTGGTCGAAGATTCCCCGAACTGGTGAAAACTACCTCGGGAATGTCCATGTGGGTGGTCGCCGCCGGAAACTGCTACCGGGCCGTCCACGTCGACCACGAGTCCTTCGTTGCTCGTTTCATCCTACAAAAAGAAATTGTATCAAGATATCAGTTATCAAGAATCACATTATTATATCGCTATTATTATTATTATTATTATTATTAGATGACATGAAACAAGAGAAAACGCAATCAAAATTTATCTACTCTCAGAATTGATTCTTTTAGTAATTTCGTTTTCAAAAGAAATTTTCATTTAAACTAATAAAAATAAGGGTAATAATTTTGTATCGATTGTACCTCTGATTTGGCCGGACTTGTCGGCGTGCTATAATTATCTACATTTTCTAACTGCTGTTGATGGTGATCGTTCTGGTGCTGCAACTGAATCGAATTCGCGCCCGGCTTAGGCTCATTAAGATTAACTTGAACGGTATCGTTGTTTTTGTCGCTATTAGCGTCTGCATGACACGGTTTCTTCGCATCGTTCTGAAAAAGAAAGAAGTTGCAGATGTGAAAAATACATTCGTGAAAAATGAAATTCCTGGATTACTATTTGAATGAAATTAAGTGCGCAATCTAATTAATAAATCTGATAAGCATTATAAATATTTCTAGACAATTCATCGAACAAGTATGAGCTCGAATTAAATGTTAATATGTGATAGTCAAAGGTATATCCTCCAAAGACAACTAAGCACTTCAGCAATATAAACCGATAGTCTCGAGTATTGAGGAACCGAGAAATAGGAGCGATAAAAATAGGCGGCAGGAAAAAGACGATGCGGTCAGAGAGTCGAGAAAGAGACGAAAGAAAAAAAAGGGGAAAAAAAGAATCTTTGCGACGCGATTGATAGCGGTGTGTAAGGGCACCGGGCTCACCTTGACCGGAAGCGCGGTTAACTTCCTCTTCCGGTCCCTCTCCTTATGCTGTGAGTTCGACTCGAGGCAAACCTCCTCTACTCGCTGCTGCTTTCTCTCCTCGCTTCGTTGGCTGTCTGAAATATATACGGACATGTACTATACAAGCCAAGGATGCAGCGGTACAAGTTCGTTACTCCTTTTCTTATTATTATTCCTTATTAGGCCATTAACATAACCTAATGAGCATAATGTAATCGCGGCCACCTCGGCCGCTCCCCCTCCCCCCTCTCTCTCCTTCCTCAACTCGTTTTCGACGAGTTTCTGCATACATGCGCGTCCTGCCATGCGATAGAATGGTCGATAGAAGCGGTGGTTCAAACAAAAACTCGACTATCTAACGATTTATCAACATATTATATCTTTTAATTACACATCGTGGCAAATTTTAATTTTAATAAGATATTTCTTATTAATTTAGAAAAAAAACAACATTCTCCAACATTCAATGCCGATTGTTTATCGACAATTTAATAAAAAATCTAGTTACAGAATATATTCGAGAGATAAAAGATTATATATAGCTCATTTTTCGATCAAAATTCTGAAGATAAATAACGACGTGCAATTTTCAATTTCAAATGTAAGAATGTATAATTACCAAATAAAAAAGAAAACGAGAATTGTTAATATACTTACATCTCGCTTCGATTTCTTCATCATCCAATAGCAGTGACACGACTTCTTTAGGTTTCAGAGTATCAGGTTTGAAGTTTCCGCCACTTATGACCATACGTTGTATCTGCAACACAAATAGACTCTCATTCGCGGGCATTGTTTATTTAATTCCAACGCTTAGATATAGCGATAACAATATGAAAACGAACCTCACTCTTCTCGCGCGCTCTCTGCAGAATTCGTTCCTCGATAGTTCCTTTACATATTAATCGGTAGACCGTGACTTGCTTGGTTTGCCCCAGTCTGTGGGCGCGATCCATAGCCTGTTGGTCTACAGTGGGATTCCAATCACTATCATAAAATATCACCTGCAAATAGATATTATTAATAGATAAATATAATTTATAAGTGTGGTTTGAATAATTTTTTGTTTATAAAAAATTATTCTGTATATGTGTTCAAATTTATTTCCATACGTAATGTGTATTCTGTATATATTCCGCATATAAAGAATAGAAATTGAAAGTCAGGATGACGCATAAGTGAATGCTTACAAGATATAAAATAAAAATATAAGATTTCTGACCGTGTCTGCCGCGGTGAGGTTGATTCCCAGGCCGCCAGCTCTAGTGCTGAGCAGAAAGACGAATATGTCCGCTCTGAAAGACAAAACAGTCCCACAGATTCTTAACTACCGTTTCACGAAAAACAACGATATTATGATGTAAATTTTGTATGTAAATTAATTCAAGGTGCCGGAGCATATTTATGAAAATAGCATATTTCCAGAACGAAATCCTCTGCAATAACGATACACTCATCCGATCATGTTTGAGATTTCAAATGGTTTAAAAAGGCATTCCTTTTTTTGCCCTTTTAATCTTATAGAAAATTAAACCACGACGCGTAATTATGAGTAATTATCTGAATACAAATTACACGAAAGTAAAGATATTCCGCTCGCGATATTCGAATAGCGACGTAAGAATATGATTATTTAGATTAATGAAACTTGAATATAGAAATTCGGTATATTGTGTAATGGCCTGCCTAGTAATAGCCCACCGTTAGAACTGCAGGTTCGTGACTGTCGTGCATTCAAAAATCAGCAGCTGTCTGCAGGATGGGGACGATTCGGCAATTAATTCGCGTGTTAGTTATGCGCGGCTGAGCCAAGCAGGACATGCGATCTCTGGATCGCGCTTTAAGTATGCAACTGGAGACTGTTCGCGCTTGATAGATATTCTAATCAGCACGGTACAGCCCGGATTAATTATGAATAACGTATTTTCTTATTAATGAGCAACTGACGCCGAGATCTCAAACAATTAAAAATTCTCGCATTCTGCACTTATACAATCGGACTATTCACGATCTTTATCAAATTGTTGAGCAATATTGTAACATTGCTAAGGGAATGCATAAATTGCAACTATATAAAAAAAAATAATTACCTCTTTTGAAAATCTGCTACCATGTCCCGTCGATCCGAGATTTTCGAGGAACCATCTAACCTCATAAACGTATGCTTTCTGTGATACATGTATTCCTACAAGAAATGAATTTGCCAAAATAAATTTTCCAATTTTGTAAAATGATTATTTGAGTGCAGCAAATAGATAGACATACTTCAAGCAAGTCGATCATCTTCGTCATTTGAGAGTATATCAGCACTCTATGACCTTGTTCCTTCAAACGTCGTAAAAGACTATCCAACACAGAAAGCTTGCCAGCATCTGTCACTAATGTTTGCTTATCTAAAATAATTTAATTTATATATAATCATCCATTTTTATTTCAGTAGAATCACAATTAATAATTAAAATAAAATATGCTTTTCTGATTAATTTCTATATCTTTTCATATCACATGTGATTAATTGATATGTATCTTGTTAATCATACCTGGCACAATGATATGTGACCATCCATTAAGAGGAGCGCATGCGGATAATCCACCTTGCGACTGATAGCAAAACGTTGACATTGTTTGGCCGGCGCGAATACATGACTTTTCTTCAAAAAGTGCTCGTTCGCATCCAAGCCAAAGTAATCTTTGACCAAATGGACCACCGCATTCTTCATGCCTCTTCCAGGCGCATGCTGCAGAACTATTGCTTACGTATAATTTTCGTGGACTAGCTTGAACCTGCAATTAACAGGATTAGAGTACAATCCCTCGTTTCCCTTTATCTCTTCCATGTGTGTAAGAATAATTGTATTAACCTTGGGATTATTATCGCAAACGAAAGCAGGAATCGTTGTCTGTTGGCAATACCGCATTATAGGCTGCCGTGGGTGATGAGGATGTTCAGGTAACAGAGATAATTTCGAATCTTCCATTTGTTCCGTTTTGCCAATGGGAAGTATCCTTTGTAACTGAAATATTAAAACAGTTGCATCATATATTTTGTAAACATTTTTGGAAACTACAAGCCAATATATTATGTAATGTAAAATATAATTACCTTTGGTAGTTGATTGGCTTTCTTACTACTACGTAGTATTCTGTGAGCAACCGTTTCCGGCATTGAATGTATCGTATGGGTGGTATGTGTGTAGAAAGCTTCGCCCTCAATTATCTTTCTTGTAAAAAATATATCTTGCAACGTCACCGATAAAGAGTCAATTTTTCTAGGCAAATAAAACATTTGATTTGTGGGTGTTCTCGATCTGTGACCGACGCACCAATCTTCCCAGTATTGTACCATTTTCAATCTTCGCTCCATGAATGTTACAAGACATAATCTGCACGAGAACATTTGTAAAAAAATATTGTAGTTATTCTACAATAAACGAGTTCTTTTTTTCTTAATACTTGCTATTTACATACCTAAATAAAGTACCAGCAATAAACATTTTGTTTATTTCCATTGGAGATAAATTGATAAATCTGCTAAATGAAAATGTATTTTCGCACAAATTTTCATTGCGATGTAGAGCACAGTGAATATATTCTGCGGCAAATATAAACAATTTGTTATACAACAAATGATCTTTGGATGGCAATGCTAGATGCAAAAGTCCTTCGTTATACAGCAAGGCAGGCATATTATAAAATTCTGTATTCATGAAAAGCGGCGATCTAGCATCTCTACGTTCAAAGAGTTCCGGATGATTACAGACCTATAATTAATATAATTAAATTTACTTTTAAAAACTGTAGATATTTAGATTGTTTTTAAGATGTAAGCTCTCTATTATAATTGTAAATTGAGTATTATAAAACTATATATAAATCAGATATAATGGTAGGTAAATTGATAATGACATGTATACATATTGAGAAAAAAATATAGTACCTTTCGGAACTGCATGACTAGATTCATCAGATTGGAAGTGAAGTTTTTATCATTAGAAGCAGTATCTCCTCCACCTACTGTGTAATGCAGTAAATCCTCTATCCGAATCTTTTTTTTCAACGCTACATAAACAAGATACAAATGTACCAAATACTCTAAATATGTAACATTCGAAAATATGAAATCGAAATACCTGAGTAAAGTAATTTTTGACGAGTCGTAAGTGGACAATATACCATTACTTCAATCTTATCTGATAACTCGTTCTCCACATCCTTTTTTATTCTCCGTAACATGAATGGTTTCAAAATCATATGAAGCCTTGATAAGTGTTCTAGCATAAAATTTATAATGTAGATACTTTGTAATGAATAACATACATAATTTTAAATTTAACAATGTATTTTATGCAAAATTACTCACTCTCATCTATTCCTGTTTTATTTTCTGCATGACTTTCAATATCTTTGGAGAACCACTCGTTAAATTCATCGTGTGAATCAAACAATGTAGGCATGATAAAGTGTAATAATGCCCATAATTCTGCCATGCTATTTTGTATAGGAGTACCACTGAGCAATAATCTATTACGACAACTGAATCCTAACAACAACTTCCATCTCATGCTATTGAAAAAATTATGATTAGCTATTAAATGTGATTAATGTACAATAATGAAAGAATGTAGAATAATATACCTGCTTGTGCTTTTTATAGCTTGTGCTTCATCCAAAATCATGTACTGCCATTTTATTCTATTAAAATATTTATAATCCGTAATCACTAATTGATAACTTGTTATTACTACATGGAAAGAAGCTTCTTTCGTATGCAAATCTTTAGTGTCCCAAAACTGTCTTAGTATTTTGCGTTCCTGAGGATTACCCCAATATGGAACTACCTTGAATACCGGTACAAATCTTGCCATTTCCTGCTGCCAGTTATGTAATGTTGAAGCTGGTGATATAATTAAAAATGGTCCCCAAACAGCTAAAATTAATCAATTAAATATATATTATTAATTTATGTTTCATAAATATTTTAACAAATGTAATGTATTTGAAATATTAAACTGTAATAGTCAAAATACTTGTAGATACTTACAATATTTCTCAGCAACATGACACAGAAATGCTATGGACTGTACAGTTTTTCCCAAACCCATCTCATCAGCTAGTATACCGCTAATACCCTGAAAATCATTCACAAAACAATTTTACAAACTCATTCTTATGTAACAAAAATATTGTAATTTTAATAACTTTATATATGCATAGTTACAAACCTGGTCGTATAAATTTGCCAACCAATTCATTCCTTTTAATTGATAACCCTTCAGATTTCCCTTGAAAATTGAAGGTTGAGGGTGCTCCAGATTCTCAGGTGTATCGCTAAGACGTAATTCTTGAGAGGCAGCAGCTGTATCAAACTGTTTCGTCCTTGCTTTTTCGTTATTAAATGCCTCAGTAGCATTTCTCTTTGCCTTTTGTTTCATAATTTCACTGTACATTTAATAAACATGTGTTTAATACTTGAATATTTGAAGTATAATAATATAGAAAATATAGAAATAATTAAAATCGAGTTTTTTTAATTACACTTACAATAGTCGTTAAACTAATAACATTTTCGGATGTAAATAAAATTATACATTTAAGTACCTGTCATAATCATCAATGCCAATAAGTCTGGGATTTTTTTCTTCGTCTAATTGATTCAAGATTCTCAATTGTTCTTCTGCCGATATTTTATTTATTTTTCGCGACATGAAATGAGCATACAGTTCTGTTTGAGTAATAAGAAAATTTAATTTTCTTTGTTGGCGCTTTGCCTGCAATAAAAACGATAATACATGAGAAAATATAGAAATAAAAAAACAAGAAAGGATCTCTACATAATCTAATGTCTCCTTACTTCAATAAGTTCTACATCCATTTTACGTTGCTCTTCAGCTTCTTTTTCTAATCTTCTCCTCGTTTCTCGTTCGACTCGATCATAACGTTTCCAATAAGATTGCATTTCCCTTGTCAATCGTTTTGCTCTCCAGATAGTTTCTTTCATATTTTTCTGAGACTGAATCACATAGAAATAAAGATAAGTAATGTTTACAATGCGCAATTCAAATTAAGTGCATGAGAAATCTAGATGTCAACTTATGCTTACCTGCATAGCTTTCTGCCTCCAATATTTCATACAATGCTGTGCTACCTTTTTACAACTTATTAGCATTTCCTTATGATTATTGGTTTTGGCCCTTTGTACTTTTCCTAATTCTTTCTTAGACATCATGACCCATATCTTTCTTCTTCTCATTGTCATTACTTCCACACTCTTAGTGTTATGTTTCTTTCTTCCTCTACCACGAGGTTGATGACGCATTATAGCTTCTAATTCAGATTCATCTAATTCTTCTTCCTTGGGAATTGATTTACCCCATTCTCCCTCTGGAAAATTTCCTTTCTAAAAGCATAGAATTTTTATGAAGAAAAAAACATTAAGTAAATATAAACAAAAGAAGAGCAATATAAAACAAGATACATACACGATATTCTTCAGATGCACAATGACGATTAATTTTTTCTTTCTTGATTCTCATGATTTTTTTGTCCGGTTTTTTCTCTTTCTTCTTTTTATTTCCTACAATCAACTTTTGATGTTCTAAAAATCTATCGTAATTGGATAATAAGCCCGCACTGTAGTATTGATATTGTATATTCTGAAAAGACAATATTTCATGACATTCTGAATTACTATAATAATGTCTAATTAATTATTCTTACTTCTGGTTTCTGATAAAAACGGCCTTGATATTTTTTCCGTAATATATGGAATTTTAGCATCTCTTGAAAATCATCTTCTGTGATTTGGCTATCTGTGTCAGAGCCTGATGCAGAACTGTCAGAGGAATCACTTAACAAAATATCTTGTAACCAACGACGTTCTTCTCCCACACTAGACATGTTGTACAATCTCAGCTTATTGATCCTTACTTCTATAAAAAAAATATTATGACAAATTTGATATTAAGTTAGTTTGGATAGAACTAAAATTAATGTATTACCTTCTTTTTGAGTGAGTACATTATCTAGATAAGCATCCGAACCATCAGAAGATTCTGAGGAGACAGACTTGTCATCTTCACTGAAAAAACAAACACACAATATATGTATTATTTCATATAGCATTAATTTATGATACATTAACTTATCGTATAAAAGTTAGAATAACATTAATATTCAGCAGATTGTAAATATTATTACCTAACTTGTTCTTGAAAAAGATCATTAATTTGTCTTAAGAAGGGTTGCACATTGAGACTGCGTTCTAATCTTTGCAGATGCAAAGGAGCAGCCATTTCAGCTTCCAGCTTCATTGTGTATGCTCTATCAGACATTACACGTCTGCGCAAAACTAACGTTTTCTGTAACAGTTGCATAATGAATAAAATATGATTCTTAAATTAAAAAAAAATATATATTTCATATATTTAATATGCATATTTCATATATTTAAATAAAAAAAAAAATCTGTTTCATATATTTAATATGCGTAACCATCAATACAAATCGATATATATCTGCAATGTGCAAAGATAAATTTGTTGGCAATGCTTAATCTAAATAATGATGTATATATGCTAAGGTATTAAATATATATATATATATATATATATATATATGGTAACAAATGGCAAAGTGACAATAAGTTAGCAAAGCAATATCACATAAAGGAAAAATCATTGAACAATTCAATATTATAGGCTATAACGCAAAGAAATTACAAGAATGTATATTACATGAGGAGCATAATCACGCAATCTGCTAGGAAAAATAAAATGTGCGTTTTTTCCCGTTTTTCAATAGCAAACCGCAGAGGAACGCTTGCCACTGGGGGCTGCTATTGTACTTGAAGATTTTTCATATTCTTGGAAACGGCCGATGCACATTACGGGCGTGAAGCTCGTCATGCGAGATCGTGCACGGCTAATTTTATTATATAAGAAGAATGACACGTTGTATCCTGCTTCGGTGCGGTTATAATTCAGCTAAATTATTTTCGTTAACAGTATTGCCTTCACCTTGTGTTTTGGTTATATACGCGCGGCCCCACGCTTATTTCGCACGCGAAACAGAGTCTGCTACTGGAAGGCGATTTCCTCTGTTCACAGCGAAATTAGATATATCAGTCGGAGGGGAATACATGGTAGAAGGAAGCCTAGAGAACGCAGACATTTGGCGTGCTATTAAAGCAGGGCAGGGATAGGGCATTATGTTCGCTACCATTTTTGTTTTCAGTAGGTGGCGCTGAACGCGCCTAAACGCTCAGCCTCTGACTCTGACGAGAGAGAAAGAGAGAGATATCTCCGTTTCTGGATACTTAAATAAATATTAATAAAATTTCGTATTGCATAATTCATACATAAATATATCCCCAAACCTTTCTCCTTTTTTCTCTTTCTCTCTCAATCTATTTTTTAGTATATATATGCTTCACGGAATCAAATTCCTCTCCAATATAATATCTCAAAAGCAAATATAATTTTTAATATTTTTGTGCTTGAAATATGCTAGAAATACATAATTATATAAATTCATACTTTAAAATGTGGAAAAAATTTTTGAAGGAGGAATTGTATAATCTCGAGATGAGTTCTCGTATTATTTTACTCGATGTTTATTCGATTGACAACAAGAGATTTAGCTCACATATTAATATTAACAATAAAGAATATTGAACGTATAATGATTTATAACACTTACTCTTGGTGAAGATTCATAATTCTCCCCAGGATACGAAATAATTGAATTAAAATATCAATTTTTACGGAACTGATATTTTCACTTCGATCAAGTTGCTACGATCCCGGACGAGTCCAAAATTCAAATGGTACTACTACGGGATCACACTTCCGCGCGTGCGCATTGCGCGCGTCTAGCCTGAAATCAGCACCGGAAATATCAGGCTTAACCACCGACGCAATCTACTTTATTGATAAACTCCATTAAATCGTTCCATTGATATTACGAAAAACACTCTTTAAAATTCGTTAATTTTATTGAATCGAATTATCGCAAAATAATTTAATCTCGCGTTACCTACGAGTTCTCTGAGGGGTAGGATAAGGGAGAGAGGTAAGGGGAAAGGATATCGTTCGACGCGCTACTCGATCGAGAGAGGAGGAATCGCTTCGATATTATTTTATATAAGATTTATATATTTTTCTCTTTCTCATTATTTATCGCATTTTCAATTTCATAAAAAAGTATTTTTCCGTATATCTAAAGTACTTACGTAAGAGATAAATCTCATTTTCCTTCCTCCTCCTTCCTCTTCCGCGCTTTTCTCATCGTTCCTCTTGCGCGCCATCTCGTCGAGTGGTGGGGAGAGAAGAGAAGAGTGGGGAGGCGTCTGGCGTCGAGACGTTCCTGCGCGCCATCGTGTAGACCCCGTTTTGTTTCGTCATCGCTACGTTGAGCGTCCCTTCCCGCTCAGTACTTCCTCCAATTTCACTGGTTTCGTGTCGTGCGAAGGAGTCGCACGTCAATAAACGCTCTCGAGGTTATTGCAAGCTAAACGTTCAGGTGAGCACGGCTAAAAGCCTCCTTCGTCCTACATTTAACTGTCGCATCGATAATATTGCGAGATTTAATGTGAAAATCGTCGTTACTGATATAACGGGCCGATCGCGTAGTCACGTTCCCTACCAGATTTCGTTTCCATTTGGCAAGAACACGAGGCGCGGACTCTCATGTTAGTAGCTTGATACAATAATTTTTTTTTTTTTTTTGGATTAGATGAGAAAAAGCGAAAAGATGCGATTTCGACGAAATGAGAAACGCGCGCGAACGCGTATTTTACACGTTTGTTTACGCTTATCGGGCGACGCGTCGAAAACGCAAATCATTCACCGCGGCCATTATTCGGGATTTGTTCGCGACGCAATTAATCGACGTCCTTCGTATCGATCGCCGATCCGGCGTCCATAGCAGCGCGAAATCGGCTAAAAAATTCTAGAAATTTCGGGACGATCTCGTCACAGCACATTGCGCGATAAAAAAAAAATTCTTCCTTTTTTCCTTCTTTGTTAAATCGTCGCGCATCTGGGGAGGAAATCTCGTGCATCACGTCGATCGTTTCGAGGGCGGCATGGAACGACGAGGAAAGACCACTCGATTTGATATCGCGCGTTTCAAAACAGGTGCGCCACGTGTGCGACGCGTATTTCTCAACGGTGAAGTCCAACCCCTTGATTTCGTGAAACGTGTAAGCTCTTAATCGCGAAGTACTCGAAAAAAATTTAACGATGCTTTCTATATATTTTTTACGCGTGGAGGATGCGATATTTTTATTGAAGTAATATATGCAGTATACTCGGAGTTTTTTATTTTTTTGTTTTTTTTTTTAATATTATGTACTCAATAAAAGGTCAAGTATATAAACGCCGTTATATTACGTTACATTGTTGCAAACGATCCAAGTTTATTTTAATTATTTGATTAAAGTCTCAAGACAAAAAGAAAAAAATAACGATTTTTTTTATGTTGATTAAACAGCAGGTTCTCCAAGTAACCTGTTATGTAAGGTGTTTTTATATTTTCCTTTAAGAATGAGCACTCGAGTATTCGTTGGCGGATTAACGTACCGGGTGAGAGAGCGCGACCTTGAGAAGTTCTTCCGGAAATATGGTAGAATCAAGGAGGTCGCTATGAAGAACGGATTTGCCTTTGTGGTAAGTCTAATGTGGTTCAATTGTTTTTTTTACAGTATGGTAGGGACAAGGGTCTATGTCGGTGGGCTTCCATACGGCACCAGG